TCGATTCATCTTGAACTCGCCTTCTTATATCTTAGCCACATTTTTCACGAGTAGACGTTTTTAAGCTATTATCAACGTACGTGTCAAACACAATGTTATTTCTTTGTCCAACTTTTCCAATATTCAGAATATGCAGATCCACCAAAATTAAAAGAGGACACTACAGATTGATCATCTGTTAGAGAAAACAAAATATCTAGACATTTTGACAGAATGTCAGCTTTTGTTCTAAGACAGATTGTGCCATTTTGACTAAGCGATGTTTCGATAACTTGATTAACTAGAAAAGTACAGTCTTGAAAATAAAGAACAATTTCTTTTCAAATACAGTGATCCATTGTAAAATTTTCATTGCAGGAGGTGGTGTTTGGAAAAGAGGTAACTTGTTCCTCTCGATTTTATCAAAGACAAACGTTATTCGATCGACAAGGCATTAGTGGCATGTATTATAGACCTTACACATATCAATACTGTTAATTTAAATTGCAGGATTACATACAATGTACTAGGATGTAGAATAAGGAGATCTTTGACCTTTCCATACACCCCTTTTCAAATTACCTCATCATTATTCAAAGAATCTGTGTAATGTCGGTAAAGGTTTTACAATGAATGGTTAAGTGTACATGCTGTAACTTAGTGTTCTTTATGTATTTTTGTAACATGAGACGACTGCAGGAATGAATCTGCTTTACCGGGTGATGCAACCTGACAATTTAATTAAACACTAGTCCATCAACTATCGTCAAGCCAGCTACGAAGGGCTTTGAACGCAGTCATTTCTATGTGTAGGCCGCCGAACATCATGACAAAATTTTCCTTACCAAATATCCGCGACCGATTCTAGTTTTACTACTTTGAAAAAATGTTTGGGCAAAAGCAACAAAGGAAGTTTCACTCGGATTTGGCTTTCTTACAGCTCTATGAATAAGTACTTGTTCTTTTTCCGAAAACGAGAGTAGACTACTAGGTAGGAGTGTAAAACTTCCCGGAACTTGTTTGCTATGTGTGTGTTGTTCCAACTTCAGCCTTAACAGTTGAATTATCGTTAACATCTGTGGGCTATTTGACTTCAGCTTTAAATGCAACTGGGAATGAAGATATATCAATTAATAGTTCGCCTTCCACTAATGAGATATCTGGTTCGCCAAAAAAAATAGCAAAAAAAATCTCTTTGAACATCATAAGAAATATTTTGGAACTTGGAACAGTATAGCAAATATATATGTTTCTGGTTGGAATAAAGATATACAGGTACCATAAAATGAGTCTTTTGACGATATTCTTCTTGCATTGTGGTCAATGTTGTCTACAGCAGACGAAGTGAAATTCTGCAGTAGATGGGTATTGGAAACAATACCTTCCTTGATATAAAGACGACAAGCATTATTGGCCACCGAAGTAAAAACATTTAACACTCTGTCGTAGGAAACCGGTACTAGAAGTCCAAGTTTACAAAAAGTGTCTACAAGATCACGTTTTCTAGTCTTACAGTGGATCATGATTCCCAAATAAGCACAAACTGGGGGTTCATCGTCTTACGTGTGACGGTTGGATTGTTTCTTCGTACATCTATACATCAGAAGCTGTCCTATTGTTAATATTGACTGAGAATATGAACGATCCCAAATGTTGGGTCCAGATTGAATCATGCTGACCAATGCTGACCAAAGACAGCAATAGCTGGGATACAGATGCTTCTCACGGATTTGAATAGATGGCTTAATATTAAAAATGCTCATAAGCATTATAACTATAACACTATGAAAAGTTTCATGCTTTTACTATACATTGGTCAATTGTACAAATATATTGAACTTAGTCAATTGACTATTGGTGGCCATTTTGAAATTTGTTTATATAGCTCTATATTCAGAAGTGTTTAAAAACCTCATAAATAACACTGTGCAAAGTTTCAGTCTGATCCTATAAAAAGATCGATTACACCAATACATTGGAATTAGCCTCTTGACTATTGGCAGCCATTTTGAATTTGGCGGCCATTATGGATTTATTTAGATGGCTCTATATCCAAAAATGTTTGTTAGCGTCATAACTAGCACTGTGCAAAATGTCATGCTTTTACCATTAAATGGTCAATCATACCAATATATCATGTATATATGACTTAGCATCTTGACTAGTGGCGGCCATTTTGAATTTGGCGGCCATTATGGAATTTTTTTAGATGGCTCCATATCCAAAAATGTTTATAAGCATCATAAATAACGCTATGCAAAGTTTCATACTTTTACCATAAAGTGATCAATTGTGCCAATCTATTGGACTTAGCCGCTGGACTATTGATTGTTATGAACTCTGGACAGATGCTGAGCTGCAAGATGAAGATATAGCATATTGTTCAACTCTGTATTTTATTGATAAAAGGACTAACTGTTTACAGTCAACATCACACTTTACACTGACGCAGCAGACGAGACACAAGGTTCCGCGGAACCCTTTACGAGTTTTTATCTTTGTTGCAAAAGTAAGAATCACTTTAGAACTATTTCATTTAGTATACTAGTATTTAAGAAAATTATAATCACTTTCTTTACAATTAAGTACGAGTGTTAGCGAGTACTTATCATGAAGACAGGGATTATCATTCTCTTACAAAATTTAGAGCACTTTGCTATATTCTAAACAAAGTTAAAAAGATACAACTAAATATTTAAAACAAACAACAATTGTAACAATTCAACAAATATCAAATTCTGAACTAGAACTTAGCTTACCAACCGTGTGTAACGTTATAAACCAGTCCCTAGAATTGCGAAAATCAGGGACACGTCAGCCAAAAGTTCCCATAAATATTGTATGTCATTTGCCAATGTAATTGTTTGTTCATTATAATAATGTATATACGAGTGTTTTGTTTTCGTCTTATTGGACGTAATTAGCAAATAAATTTATTAATATATTATGACGCAGTCAGGATTCTACTTCGTCAAAATTATCTCCCCATAACGCCAGCTAATTTTTACAATCTTGAAAATGGAAGCCATTGTAGGGATGACGCGCTGCCAATTTGGCTCTTGAAAACGGATAAATTTATCCACATAGCACCATTACGATCCTTATATGCCAGTTGCATTTTAAAAGACAAATTTATCTACTATATATATAGCTATTGAGCATCATTCAATGTACTTTTTTTGCATTTAGACAACTTAAAACTATTGTCTGATCGGTTGTCAGGTGGAATTTTCGAAAGTTCAAAAACATTTAAAAAAATTCTAATTAAATATTTCGTGGAAGGGCAGACTAAAAATTTTCAAGGTTGAAGACTCTAGATAACCCTAGATAACACACACAAAAAATGAAGTTTTTTTGAAGTTATGCATTCTTAAGATCCACTTGTAAAGTCTGTCGTCAAGAACTTTTAGTATAAATTTGTTATTCAAACACCCACTGTGTTGTTATGACTCATTAGAAAGGTATTTCACTTGACCCATATATTTAATTTTTTAGTACTGTGAATTTTTAATGTTATTAAATCAACCTGTAGCCTAAATATATAAAAATAATAGAATCTGAAGCAAGATGATGTATCAAATATTTTTGCTTTATACGATTTCAAGACAGAATAGTCAACTCAAACACGCCCGAACATAAACATGTGCACTCGACTTTCTCTTTTCGATGAAATCATTGCCCATTTTTAGGATGTTTTCCAAAAAAACTGTCGCCGGGGGTTGAGATGCAAATTAATGCTCTAAAAAGATCAATCTTTTATCTTTCTGTGGATTTTTTTTTCGGCGGAATTTATGCTTATTCATAAAAAAGATCCACTTGTATTTGCACCTACCACAATCGACTGTTTTATGAAAATTTGTCTATACTTTAAAAGTTTACAAATATCTCGAAGCTCCATACTATAATTTAAGTAAAAACACGTATACATGGGGCATAAAATCCTAAATTTATGCATCTTTATTAAACTTTTAAAGCCCATAGAAACAGATGTAAACAATTCATATATACCAACTTGGCCTTTTTAACCTTCTCTAATAAAGAGTTCCATTTCTTTTGTTTAATTTCAACTGGGTATCCGCCTGGACGAGGAACACTTTTTCCTTGATTCCGGTCAAATTAGTTACAATTTTCAAAATTTTCTTAGTAAGCAGATTGAAAACCTTCATTTTGATTTTAACCAGCTTGACTCAACCTCAAAACTAAAAACTATTTCAAACCAAATAAATAAATGTTATCTATAAATTGCAATCCTAAGAGTTGCGAAAATTAGGTACACGCTGGTCAACTATCTCTATAATAATCACTCTGTAATGTTTATGTCATGTTGTTATTAATGTTATGCTCTTAATGGGCCCTTTAATTTGGAAAAATAAAAATATTGTATTGTATTGTATTGTATATAATTGTGGGCTTTCTACGTTTGTTCTAATTTATCGTTCATTTGCGCCATTTTATTAACTCGACTTATTTAAACTTGATTCATGTGTTTGTTTGTATCTTGTGTATGAAATATTCAAAATATGTTTCCCGCCACTGAGAACACGAATTAGACTTCCGTATATCGTTTCCATATGTATAAAAAATATGTATATTTTTCTGCGTTTCGTAGTATAGTAGAAAAATAATGTATTGTACGGTTCATCAAGACTAAGTGTAGTCACGTGTTTAGAATGACCAATGGTCAAGTTTCTTATGGTTTGGCGCCAAGTGTATTGTCTTGTGTTAAGGTCTTCATTCTAGCCGTGGACGTTCGATAGTAAACCACAAATTACAAGTGTATATATTTATATATAAGTATGTTATAAACAGTGGCTGTTTATTTTTGTATTTGTTTTTTTTTTGAGCGCTGGACTTGACGCTTTCTCTGGAAGTGGTGTCGGCATTACCTCGAGTTACAGGTTTCCATGAAATTATTTTTTTATGGTTTTTCCTGGGTGGCATTCATCACTAATGACGGAGATAAAGATTCAAGGAATAGAATCTTTTATATTGTTTCAAAAATATAGACTAAGATGGACAAATCTGTTAGTCTAATTTATCATTTTCTATTGATGTATTGTATAAATATGTATCGTCACATAATGTCAGATTATATCATATTAAATGCCGGCTAGTTCGTCCGCACGGCAAATGCAAAATATATTAGTTGAGTTATTTTTTAGATTTATATAGTTTTGAAGTATAGTCCAATTTGTATTTGGTATACTGGTCAGTCAACATTTTGAGTATGTTTGGTATATCTAGTATGGTATAGTAAATACCTAAGATTATAATTGTCTGTTTCGTCCGTCTTATGACGTCGATTTCAATAAGTGTAGATTTCTTTTAAACTCAAATTTAAGTTTTCTATATTTCGACAGCAGACCTTGCAGACAAATATAGGAATAGCATCATTGGATGTTATCCAGCAAAATAAAAATCCGGACATTTTCGGAAGGTTTAAAAATCACACAATTCCTTAATGAAATGTAACAATGCCTAAGGAAGATGGGATCACCGGTTGAATAGCCAGTTATATAAACATAAAATTTGGCGTACCAGCAAACGGTACTCACTTCACTGGTTATTCAAAAGTCAAACAGATAAGATGACCCATCATATTTGTCACATACTAAAAGCTGTCGTCGAAATTTGCTAATGTAAAGCGCTTGAGGTTTGTTGATTCCGTCCCTGCCACTAAGAATAACACGACTGCTTCTTCCATCAGGGGCAATAAGTACCACGTTGTTTGAAGCTCTTCCGGCTACGTATACGAACCCATTTGTGTCTGTAGCTATTCCAAACGGTTCACGTAGTAAAACATTTCGATAAGTCCAGATTTCAGACCCTTTCATGTTCATGCAAATTACTGTATTCTGTCCGGTAACGGTACAATAAAGTTTGTCCATATACCATGTTAAATAGCGCAAGCGATCGCCGGGAAATCGAACCCGGGAAATAATTTTACCTGCTACATCAATGAGAAGAAATATCCCGCTATTAACAAGTCTAACTAGAATCTTGCCATCTTTATGGTCAATTCCAAAGCACTCACCATTTACATTTATCTTCTTTATTATTTTCCCTGTAGCATATTCAATTAAAATGATTATCTTAGATGTTCGTGCTGATACAACAATCTTATCGTCTGAAATACATGTAATATCGAACGGACCATTCCCCGGGAAATCAGCAACAACGCGACTTTCGCTGCCATCACTGTTGCAGGTAAGTAAACGTTCATGTTTCCAATCTAAAAATAATAATTTCCCATTATCTAATATTTCACAACTAGAGATATCAAACCCTTTGCTATTCTTCAATTTTATTCTCTGCTGGAGCCTCATCTTAATTTTTTCAATTCCTGCAACTTTTGGCAACACAATTTGCGATTGTATCCTCTTCCCTAAAATGAGGCTTAAATTTCTTGGACTTGTCTGGACGAGTACGTCACCAAACACTGAAACTTTATCTGTAAAAGAAGACAAAATTTCTGAGTAGTTTAAATGAATATCTGAGTTGTAAAAATTTTCGTCTTCTTGCAAAATTACCAATGTTTTGCCTTCTTCGTTAACTTTTTTCTCTAAATCTCTCATTCCAATAAAATTTTGAAGGTTACTCGCAGCTTCTTTCATCAAACTTATTTCTTCTTGAATAGAATTTGCTTTAATTTTTCTTTCATTCAATTTATCGATAAGGTTTTCAATTTGAACTTTCGATGCGTCATGAGTTCGTCTCAAGTCTTCCAAAACGGTTCCTTCAATTTTATCTAAATGATCGTTTATTATTTCGCGCATATGTTTTATTGTTTCAACATGTTTTGTTTCTTGTACTTCGAGTTTTGATAAATTTTCTTCTCTTTCTTTTGTCAGTTTAACAATGTTATCAACAATATTAGACAGATTTCTCTCTATTTCATGCAGATGGTTTGACGATTTGACATTCTTGACAACATCATGGAGAGGTTTTAATTCCATACACGAAGAATGAACATCTTTTGTACAATCAACACAACATGGTAGGGCGTGTGATGTACAGTAGAATTCATACTCAAGTTTATGAATGTCGCATCGGTGTTTCACAGACGCAACATATGACGGGAACTGATGATAGTCCTCGATCTGAATAACATGGTGGTTAGCAGTTGACCTAGAGGCACCATGGTGTTCATGACAATCTGTACAAAGCCCATCCTCACAGTGAGGGCACCATTTCGTGGCAGGTTTTGAAATAGATCGACGTTGACAGACGTCGCAAGAAACTGATCGAACGGTACTGGCACTCTTTTCCATTATCCTAGAAACAGAAACAGAATATAACAGAGTCATGAAGAGTTCAGAAAATCTATTCCACAAAAGACATTGAGACCATTATTTTATGAAAACATATTTCTAATGAACATCTGACTTTTACAGTAGAAATCTAAATGACAGAGATGAAATATAAGATTCCATAAGCAAAAGCATATATCAGTAAATATTTCCAATTTATGGCACGAACGCACATTTATTTTTTCACAAACCTTTATAAATATATTGGTGAAAGAATAATGACATTATTTTGGTCGCTATGCAACAATTTATAAACTGGTTTCCATGGCAACAAGTTAATAAATAGCTCTTCTTTCATTTTTTGTCCAATTTTAACTACCATTTAATTAAACTGCCTTTAGTCATATAAGATATCAAAACATTGATGTTTAAAGTTTCAGCCATAGCCTTAAATTTAATGTTTCCATAATATATATTAAAGAAAGCGTGAAGTACTCACGTGAAATGGGAGAATTTTAGTTTGATAAGAAATTAACAGTTGTGCCTATTTCAAGCCAATTTAGGAATTTAGATTATGCATCGATTATTTCATTTTGTCGCATTTTAATGTTTAACAATATCCCAATGTACACTTAAAGTGCATATAATGTTCTTTCGTTTGATTTTTACGACAAGTTTGCATGAAATATTCTGATATAACCTTCCGTTCTAGCACATTAAATAGATTATTCAAAAGTAAAGACCATAGAAGGAATATAGCTTACCAGAGATCTCTGGAAATAATTATCACATGCGTGCTGTTTGTGCACTATTGGAAATGTAATGACTTTTTCTGTAAAAATTATGCACTAAAAGGAGGATATATTGTTTGAATCCAAACAAAATCACATTTAAAAAGTCACACGTAGAAAAATACGCACAGTAAAACATCGAGATGATGCAAACACAATATCTTGTTTTTGTCTTATATCGGATTTAAAAAAAACGTTTGTTTCAATTCATTCTGCCTTTTACATGATATAATGACAAATGACTTTGCGTTGACATAGGGACTGAAATAGGATCCTAAGTAGAGCAAGTAAGTCAATAAATTACGGCGTTGTTCAAAACTATAGTGAACTTAATAGGTTTTAATTACAGCAGAAGATACTTATAACAAATAAAATACTACTCGATCGTTTAAACAACTACAATAACTAAGTACATATATCTGAAGTTTCAATTTTACATGTTGGGATTGAAAATCACTCTATAGGTATAAAAGTCATTTTCCATAAACTGTGACCATAAACAGAATTCCCGACGAAGTGCTTATTTCTAAAGAATTTTTACATTTGATTTATATAAAAAAAAATGGGGGGGGATTATTTAATACTTCTGTTTAATGTCACTTTCATTCTTACATTCTTACAGATTTTACAGGGCATGCATTGCAGAGCTTTGTGTTTCAACGAGTTCACTATAGTGGATCGTAGTGGACTCAATCTCGTGAGAAAAGTACTAACTGAAAATTATGTTAAAAACTTTGTATGTGTTGAAAGCGTCGAAGAAATGTGTTACTCGACGAAAGAATTCTATTTCATATAGTATTGTTGGGCCAGTGGTCAAGGGTACTAGATACTGAACAGTCGCAGTTAACACGATGCAACAGAACTATGGGTTCAAAATCCCGCTGAGAGCAGGGACAAAATTCGATAACCTCACTTTTAAATTTTCGGACGAACCCTGCTGTGTCCTTAATTTCTAGTTCATTGGAATAGATAAGATGTAATTATTTTTAAGGTAGATTAACTGTATACCGCCGTCTTGAATTGTAAAATAGCAGTACACAATTGGTCTAGTTCTCTGCTTAAATCTGCAAGTTTAGACAAATTGGCAACTAATTTGTAAGACTATATAAGTAAAGAAAAATAAGTGATTTATTGCACTATTTAGTCTGTTTTAACAAATATCAATTATTTATTTTTGTTCCATTCAATTTTTCAACTAAGTCATTTAACTCTTTTAGTAAAATGTTCATAAAGGAATGTTGATGCAATTTTCATTTTTTTTACTTGTATCATGCAAAACAAGTTCGGTGTAACCATTTTTCTTTTTATTTTCTTAAATCATATTATAAAACCTATCGCCTCATATTTTATTTCAAAATTCCACCTCATAGATTTTTTTTTTTTTATTCACAAAAAAGTGTTTTCATGAATAATCTATTTTGCACGACTTGTAGCTTGAAAAATAGCACGGTTACCCTTACAGTTTATTATATTTTTGAAAAAAAAAGCATGGTCAAATCTACATTTTTGCAAAGTATAAGAAAATTCTATCTTAGGAAATAAATAGTGATGATCCACCTTAAATGATATCATAATATAAATAAAATTCATTATCTAAATATCAAGCGGAAGCTAAAAATTATTTGAAAGACTGCACAATAACATTTTCTTTTTTTTTTTTGTGGCCAAAATCCTTGTATTGATATCAGCTTCACGTGATTAAAGAAACATTTTGCCTGATAGATGCACAATTGGTTACCATTGAAATGCCTATCTTCTTTTGGCAACCTGTTTACTGCACCAGATCAGACTTTCTTATTTCACTGTGGTTTAGTTAACGTTTGTTATTTTGTTCAATAAGTTTTGATCTGAGTCAAATTTAATTCAAATCCATATATGGATAAAGATACATAGCAAAAACTGAAACTTCATTTTTTATGTAAAGAATTTTTGTCCTTCATATCTATTGTCTATTCAAGGATTGCACAAGAGGAAGTATGCGTAAATGACACATGTTAAGTAAATAAAAATATATGATTGTATACACATATTTGTCCCTGAAAGAAATATGATAGAATTTGTTTTCATTCTATGGTATATATTGTCTGATTGCTGCTTAATGTCTGTTGCGAAGTATTCATGTATATTCAGGATAACAAATGAGTTAGACGAATATGTCTTGCTTTGTACTAGAACAACATATTGGTGGCAATCTCTTCAGCGTCTTCTAATGCTGTAAACTATACGTCTTCTACTAGCTTTGGTGGTCAAGGGGTATAGAAATGACGCATGTCTTTCCAGTGCGGTCATCGTTGCCTTTTTTAGCAGTGGCAAGTCCGAGTTTCAGTTTCTTTCTCCCGATGTATTAGGTATAGTGGAAGAAGCAGGTTCTCAAAGTGATGTTGGTAAATGCTCGACGGACGGAATTACAAGTATTGCTGTCTCATTAAGTCAAATGAATGAAGCCATCCGGCTGTCTCGTGGTAGCATTCTCCCCTCGATCCCCGACCTGGTCAAACCAAAGACTATAAAATTGGTATTTGCTATTTTTCCTGTAAGGACGTGGCATTTAGAAGTAAGAGCAAAGACTGGAATTAGTTCAGGTAAGTTGACATGACTTTTTGTGGACGGTTACCATGTGAACTAGAACGCTTAACATCCGGCTAAGCGTGTCGATTGAGTACAAAGTAGGATTCATATTCATATCAAATTAACATGTTCTCATCCTTATATGCACGTAAGATTTGCCACAAGACATTAAACACTAATCCATCAAATGATTTTTTTTTCTCTCTCTGTTATACTACATGTATTTAAAGTGTTATAGTTTGAAATAGAGTTACCTCGCTTTATATAAATATTTAGATGTTTATTTCAAACTATAAATGAAAATTAAAATTTCTTTCTCCAGAGAAAATTCGAAGATAATAAATTAAAGTTGGCATTTTCTTCACACTAAAATTGTATGTTTATCAATACCTGCTATACCGCTCAGTATATCAATCTGAAATATGCAGAAATAATTACATTTTCTTGTTTACTTACTAAAATTAATACTGTTAAAACCTGAAAAGGCTAAGATGAAGATTTTGACTTTCTTAACTAAATGTATAAAAGCCTTTGAAAATACAGATACAAAACAAAAAAACACTCAAAGCGCTATAATGGGGGAATAATCGTTCTTTATCAAGCAGAATGCAAAAAGAGTAAGTGTGAGTTGGAACAAAGAGAGGGTAAAGATACCAAAGGGATATTCAAACTCACAAGTCGAAAACAAACTGACAATGCCAAAAAATGCTGGCTAAAAACGAAAAACGACCACAAGGCAAATAACAGTACACAAAACACAACATAGTAAATTAAAGACTGAGCAACACGAACCCCACCAAAACCCTTGGTGATCTCATGTGCTCAGGAAGGGTAAGCAGATTCTGCTCTACATGTGGCACCCGTTGTATTACTCATAAGTACAATTTGTCTTCAGAGAGTAGACTTTATACTTGACAGCACATTTTATCAACTAAAAAATACCTTTGATGACTTTCATGGATAAAAAAAATCTTGTCTTTATAGCAAGGGTATCATGGTTATAGAATTGAATGCTCGAGGCAAATGTTATTGAAAATAATGGTGCTAGCACAGTTGACCAAACTTTGACCGACTTGTTTGGATTAACTATTTTTTTATAAGGCAATCTAGATATGACAGTAACGACATGAACAAAAGATATCCAATCTACCAATACATATATATTATTATTATCATTGGATAAAATTACAACTATAACACTTTCTTAAAAATATAATGACTTGTAAGAATATAAAGCTTTTGATTTTTAAATTTCACGGGATAGTAAGTAAATGGTATTGTACACTTTTGGACCACTAAAAGAAAAACTCGAAATCCATATTTCTGTATGTGATTTAGAAGCAATAAAATTATATGATGATATCAAAAATTTGAGTATTATATGATGGTTTAATATTTGTAGACACAATTAGATTTGACAAATATTTCCATGTCAATCCATTTTCGGGTTTTCGCCTTTAGTCTAAGACATAATCCACAGACGCATAAATGCATTTTTCAGTTTGTTTTGAAATGATGTTAAAGATTGGAGCAGTTTTGATCGGAAACGCGTAAATGCGAAGACAAAGGCAAGAAAATACTAAAATTCGAAGGCAAAAATGCAAAGTGATAACCTTTCGCGTTGTCGCATTTTATTTTTTGCGTTTTGAAAACACGAACACGCGAAATTGCCGCACCCAATCATCATATCATAAAAAATTGAATTCATAATTCATAATTATAGGGGCATTTCCCTTCAACTTTTTATTGTCCCATCCTTCAGGCATTGAACAAAATGAAACGTTATTACTAACAGGCAATTTGGTTTTTAGAGCTAAAGAGAACGTTCGACAATTTGTTTTCAAAATTTTTGATAATAATAATAATAATAATAATAATAATAATAATATCTTTATTTAAAGAGAGTAACTCATTTGGATTAAATCCAATTTTCAATAAGGCTCTCTACATTCAATATTAACTACATGAATAAGACATAATCAATCTACTAATACACAAATATAAACTATATATTAAGAACAATTTTAAAGACATTATATGTGAATATAACACCCTTTCACCAAAAGAAACATCTACTAGTATTCAATTTATTTTGTTGGCATTCGAGGAATAGATAGTTGAAATTGTGGACATTAAAGGAAGTCACCTTTAGAGAAATGGTGAAACAATATGACGGTCCTAGTGCCATCCACACTTTTTAAATATCTTATCAATTACGATATGCGTATATTTGACGACGATGCAGGCCTATTAGTGCAGATCCGTTTAAAAGGGAAAAAAATCAGTACATTAATTCATGACACATATTATAAAAAACATTAGCTAAATTGACTCTTGGATATAATAGGGGCACATTGTATTTGCGCTAATTTTTGAAAAAAAACCGCAGTATTTCATTTGCGCCAATTAAAAGGTAAGATATAGGGAAAACGTTTTAATATAAGCTCGTATCAGAAATGTTGAAGAGTATCCCCCCCCCCCCCCCCACCTGGACAGCAAAACCATTAAAACATTGAGTGATGCAGTTAGGTGGCACGGTAGTATTTCCTCAGAGTATTTCCTGGCCCATAGGGATAATGATAGCCTTTTTAGGATTTTCACAACATTCTAACACTGCCCAAAATTCTACATACACAGTTAACT